CTAGGATTACGATAAGATTGGGTTGGGTTCATAGTGGAAGTGGGATGCTGAATAATGCCCCAGTGGCGAAAAAAGCAAAGAAATCCGTCAAGAACGCGCAAAATGGGACCCCTTTCTTTGCCCGTTGACCTCCGATAATGGACGAGCTAGCAACCAACTAAAAGGTCGTTTGCAAAGATCATGCTTGATTGATGGCGAATTCCATGGGGAAGTTATAGGATACGCACTCGAAGTAGAATACCTCATCCAAATGATGCTACTAGCAACACACTAGTGGGCGGAGCACAGGGGGCGGAGGCGGAGCTCAGGGAGGATTGGCAGCCCCAGGGCGCTGAACTAGCGCACCTTTGGCCACGAAAAGGCCACATCTCGCTTCCTTAGGCCCCTGACTACTGCTTCCACTGTGCATGTACTTCCATGCTTGCACACACACTCTATTGTAATAATGACAAAGGTATGAATCTCACCTTCGTCGGCGACTACTTCCACTTCCATAACGCGAATCCCTATCCTCACGATCTCGATCACGTCTGTCTCTGTCCTCACGGTCACGACGTGGAGGCGAACGCCTTAAACGAGATCAATGAAGTGAAAAGTATTGAGCATAACAACTATCACCAAATCAACTACCTCCTATCTGTGAATCTTGAACTATCAAATCCTTTCTCTCTACGTTCTTTACGACGCTCTTCTATAGTTTTCTGAAATAAATGCAACATTACATTTCAGCTCAGAGAAAAACTGACATAAGAATCAGAAAAACTTCTAAAAAAATTCAATATCAGTATGATAGAGACTCATGGCAGAGGGCGTAGTGCGTGCGAGATGAGTTTTATCCAGGACGTCAGTTTGACCTGCGATATCGTCACCCGTAGAACGTCCGTACACATCGCAGCGGTCTAGAGTGCTCACTCACTCGCTAAATCAAGCAGCCCCGATCCATGGGCAATCAGAGACAGAGATCAGATTGAAAGACAATTTCAACCATCATCTTTTCCATCAAACGATACTACCTAATCGGATCGCTAACAGGAGTGTTCAAATAGAAACCCACGACAAGTGTCAAATGCAACGGCAACAACGCGTAATTAGGCGCGACGTAATACGACCTTAAAAAGGCCACGATGAGCGATCCATCGAAGATTTCGACAACAAACCTAACACAAAGCTAGTTTGTCGAAATGACAATAAATACAATCGTGTTAGTCGAGAAGTATGTAGCAGTCAAATGTCGTTAATTAGACCATCTACAGAATCAATCGGGCAGTATCCAGAACGTCTCAGGAAATGGAATTTAATAAAAAAGATAAAATGATGTGGGGAGAAAAACTGTACAGAAAGGTATAAAGTTATGAAGAAAGTGCAGGAAAAAAGTGAGAGAAGAGTAGAAAAGATTCCAAAACACAAGAAGTCGCGGATTTGGTAATGAGACCTCTCGTAATGGCATTTGTAAGAATCCCGTGGGCATTTCTACAGGAACAGGTTGGAAAAGGAGCGAAGAACTGCTCAAGGTCCGCTTCCTCGCGATACTGCTACTAACGTTAAAGGTCGGCGGCAGTGCCCAAAAAGTCACATTCATACCAAGAGATTGGTAACCTTTATGAGTAGGTATTCTCTGGAGCTATCGCAATATAA